TTGGGTTGGAAGGGACCTTAAAGACCATCTTGCTCCAACCCCCTGCCATGCACAGGGACACCTTCCACTAGACCACACTGCTTATGGAAAAATTATTTTCTCTTGGTGTTTTGCTGGGGATTGGGTAAAGATAAAGGCAGAGGCATCATCCCCAGCTCTTGCATGGCCTGTGCAAGAACTATGAACAGCTACTGCTCCCTGCAACAGGGCTGAGTGGCTGATGGGACATCTGGTGTGAGGCTCCCCTGCATCCTCACGTGTCCAGCGCCCATATCTTTAGGCTGAGAATGTCTCCTGCTGCCTAAGCATGAAAGCTGGACCAGGAGCAGTTTTGCCTTCTACATGATTCCCTGAAATACCCAAGATACTGCTTTATCTCAAATCAGAGAAAAAAGAAAAGAAAAAAAAAAAAAAGAAAAAAGAAAAAAGAAAGTTTTGTTAGAACTGCCCTATACAGCCAAATCCTGAGACTGGAAACAATTCAGATGTCTACGGTCTAACTGGGATCTTAATTTGATTTTACAGCAGTTTAATCCCTTTGAATTCAGCAGACTTCCTTCTACAGTGGTGTAAGAAAGAAAAAAAAAAAAAATCACGCCATGTGTCTTTTCCTAGGCAGGTGAGCTTCTGTAGTGTGATGGAAATGAGAAGATGAATGTCAGAAAGTGGGCCAAATTCTTTTCTGCGTTAAACAAGCATGAGTGAGAGTAGGATTTTCTGTAGGAACTGAAGCTGACAGCATGTCAACCAGCACTCATTCAGCTGGGAGGGCTGGGAGAGATTATTTAAAGTTGTCAGCTCCTTCCATGCCTGGCTTTTGGCAACTCTTCTTGTCCCTCTCCACTGTATACTCTTTATACATGCTGTTTTAAATTAAGAAACTCAAGTGAGGGAACTGAAAGGTAAACTTAAAGAAAACAATGCAGAAACAAATGCTTTGACCCATTTTATTTTATTTTTTTAACTTTAAATCTGCTAGATAGGGTGCTTGCAAGCACTGACAGGTTCTCTGGTGTACTCCAACCGATGCCCTGTTGTTACTTGCTTCACTCCAGTGCTTACTCTGGCAGCTAAAAACACCCAGAACTAGAGTTTGGTTCCATAAAACTGGAACGGAACAAATAATTGATAACAAATGAGATTTGCTTCCCTCTCATCTCAATCTTCTGCTAATAACCAGGAGAAGGCAAGGCTGAAATGTAGATGAGCCGGCCCCTGGCGCTGTGAGAATGCCCAGGGTGAGCAATACATCACTTGGAAAGGTTTTCATAGGTGCTTACATTATGGGCATTTCTAGAAGTCTGCCAGCATGAATCTGCTCTGTGCAGTTAAGCTATTACAGCTTCATGCCTTGGTCTGAGCGTTTTCACAGGGATACTCCCTGTGTCCCATCCCTAGGCCGACTGCCCCACTGCCATCTATCTTCTTTCTGCCCCTAATTTTGTCAGCACAATCACTGAGGACAACTGAAGGAATAAACTGCCTGTTTAATTAGTCCACTGTCTAATTACTGTAGATATCCTTAGTAATAAAATCCCAACAATACGTAAAAGGATAAGCCAAGGTACTTCCGATGGCAATTACTTCCCAACCCATGGAGCCGAAACTCCAACTGGCAAAAGAACTATTTGTTTATAATGCATTTTTTACTTTTAAAACTTCACAGATACTTTATAAACTTGAGGCAGAGAGTGTGTCAGGAAGGCTTCTGAAGGAAAGAGAGCTGGTTAGTATGGACTCCTGTGCTGGGGTCCCTTTTCTATTCAGCTATAACAGAGATAATATTAGAGTGATCTGAAAAAGAAGTGATAATATGGTGCAAGTGCTGTTTACCCTTACTGATTTCACTCTTTTCAGCTTCCTAAAAAAGCAGCATCGTTCCACCTATAATGACATTAACAGCACAGCTCTAAGTCAGCATTTTCTAGGAGGTTTTACGGATGGTTCCACTGTGAAAGGGGACTTGGCGTTACGTGGGTGTAGGTACAAAAAGACAACTCTAACAGCATTCCCCGAGCTGATCCAAAGCCTATTAAAGACAACAGGGATCTTTCTTCTGGTGCTCACAGGTGCTGGATTAGGCTCTGCCTTACTCATTTTAAAACGATCCCCTCCTCAGCTCCACTGCTACCTGTTGCAGATGTTCAGCTCCAACTCTCAGAATATCTGAGCAGGGCAGCACAAGCCCATGTATGAGGGTAGGATAAACACCTCCAGCTTCTGCCTGCAAATCAGCTCAAGGAATTCTTTAAAGAAGAGAAGAATCCTTCAAGCAAATTAGCATTTTGCCTACGGGGCTTGCACGCACATTTTCACCCCGTTCTATTTTATATCAGTATTTTGTCCACCTTTATTTCCATTTTTTGCATGCCTCTTTGCTCTGTTTAGGAGCTGGGGATCCACACGTGGGGTGAAGATCCACATGAACACAACTATTAGCTGAGCTTGAAGCGCTGGGAGATGTCAAGGTAAACATTTAAGGACTGTTTTCCCTTTGAAGCCCCCATGTATAACTCTACGATACTATTGACTCAAGAAGTAATGCTGAACACTGGAAGTGTTCAGTCAGCATTTTAAACTATTATGAGCTACCTTCTGAACCATTGCCAAGTTAATAGACAATGAAAGATAATGAGCTTGAAATTGGGTGTTAAATTGCATTTTTGGTTCTCTCCTTTTTTCTTGAGGTTTAACTGTTTCCTGCAGAAACAACATCATCTTTGATGTGTCATTATGGAAATGTCTATTTTTAGGTCACAAAAAAAGTCAAGGCGTGGGCTGAACCCTCGCTGCTCCTGCGAGGGGTCGAAGGCAGACGAGACACAGCAGGACCCAACACTTTCTGGTCCCCAGAGGGAGGGAGGTGGAGGGGAGAGGTTGGTTCTGCTGGCAGTATGAGACTCCAAATTAAGGAGGATATTACTCGCCTTGCTCATTAGCAACGTGCCTGGACAGCAACAGCCAAGGAACGCGCAAGGAACCACGCTTGTACTGCACGGGTTAACCCAGGGAGCATTTCCATGCACCCCTTTAAGGACTTTGAGCTGAATTCAGGTTTTTTTACTACTGAAAAACCTCTGTCATGCAGGGGTGACGTGTATCCAACCTACCCACGGCAGAGCCAGGACAGTAAAAGTCATAAACTGCTGTAAATGTACATATCAGCATGCGGAAAATAGCAGTTATTCTCCTAAAAGCAGCATTGTGTAATAACAGCTCTTCACTGGAATAATACATTTAGTGCCTCATCTACAATCAAATTTAAAGAAAGAGAAAAGTGTGACTCCCAGAAGCATAAATACACCACCTAAATCCATGAAAGTCAGTCCAGCATTGAACACTCAAGCAAAACCTGAATGGAGGGTCTGTCACTGAATCTGGACTTTCTCTACAGAAATTACTGAAGAGGACATGATAAATACCATGATAAATAATTACACTCCTGATAAACTTTTCTGCTCAACACACCTTACGAAAAAATAAAATAATCATAATTACGAAAATCGTTCAAATCACTCCAAAAGCCAAAGAAATCTTACCTGATACCTGTCACCTGCATTTTTTTTAAGATTAAATTAGGACGGGGAGGTAGGCTTATCCTCATTAGTATAATTGTAGGATCTTTCTTTTATTTTCCTTTTAAACTAATGAGTTGCATTAATCCAGGTTCATTTTTATAAGCCTCTTGGGTCCAAATGTAAAGGACAGTCATTTTAGAAAACAATAAATTAAAAAAAAGCATGTAGCATGCATTAAGTGCACGTATTTCATAAGACCTAGGTTAATACAACTGGCATCTAGTTTAATTAATCCTTGTTAGTGTAACGACTAATATCCCTCCCTAGTATGTTTCCTTTAAACATTAGTATGTTAATTAAATGTTGTTTTTTTAAGGGCTTTTTTTTTTTTTCCTTTGTACTTCAATATGGCATTATATCATCTAAAACTATTCCGAACAACTACCTTATAGAGATGTTTCCTTACAATATCTGGTCTCTTGCAGAAATTCTGAAGCCTTTTAAAAAGCTGTTCAGGTGTAGAATACAGATATTCAGCTGCAGGAAAAACAGATACATTTTTAATGAAACAAAAACCTCAAAGCACACACTCGATATTAGTCACTTTACTAATTAAAAATGCATATTGCTCTGTGCCGCCTCGTGTTTTACATTATTTAAGCATGATTTTATAAGGTTACCTCAGCTCACAAGGATGTTTAATGCTAAATAAGACTGTGTAGTTGTGCTGTTTAGACATCTCCTTTGGGTGATTAAAATACATTATTCTAATGTAACACAATGCATATGTGATACATTTAGTGATGAGATTTTTCAAAGAACTGGTACTACATTAGTGTGTATCCTGTACTGCAGTTGCATACTATTAAGTATTAAATTGTTTAAATAATTTGGTGTGATTTTCAGGCCTTGCCTTTTTTTTTTTTTTCCCTTCTGTGCATCAAAAAAAAAAAAAAATCTGCAAACCATTGCAGCATCACTGACCTTTTAACAAAAATCTATCATTACGGGTTGTGTATGCTAACAATGAAGAATGCTATTTCAAAACTTGCTTTTGTGTTATCTTAAAAGAACAGATGGCAAATATAAACTTCGTCTAATGTATTAAAACACATAAAATTTTCCTTAACACTAACATGTTGGCTTGCCAAATAAACAATTGCTTTCGCTCAAGTTTACCCTGAAACTTCGGATTTCAGCAGGAATCACGTCATTACGCTCCAGCAAAAGGAATATGGAACAGAGCAGCTACCTGGGAATATCTCTGGGTACACCAAGGCTTTGGGACACAGCGGGTAACAGCCACAATGCACAGCTTCGATCCTGAGGATTAGAAACCATAAATACACAAAAATAGACGTTAGTCAGCCAAAAACTTATTTCGGTGTAAGAGTCTTGAGGTTGCCTACATGAAGCAAGAGGGAAACTTTTTTTTTTTTCCCCCCCCTTCAGCAGCACAATCCTTCTAAATGCCAAAGTTGCTCTTTTTAAAGAAAATTTTATTGATCATATGAATTACATAGAACAGAACAGCGAGCATATGTTTTGTTCGCTGAATAAATCAAAGCGCAGCTCTGCATTTTTTTGTTTTTTAAATACTGTTTAACACATTTTATAATCAGCAGACAGACACATGTAACAACATGGTGAAGTATGGACGGCTTTGCTTAATAATGCTGCCGGAAAACAAGGGCACGTTGGCTACGCCAGGGTGCCCACACAGACACACACATCACCCTCACCTGGCACGGCAGAGACTCTCCTTAGACTTCCAGACTCCAAAGGTTACAGCTAAATATAGCCCAGGAACAACTTTGCAGCGTGCTCCAGGCTGGGATATTCGAGCTTATTCACATGCTTTGGATAATTTCCTTTATTTTTTCAGGGCATAAACTGTTGTATTTTTTTAATAACCACCGATGAAATCCCTTTGCCAAAGAGCGCGCGGGGAGCTTTGTACTTCTGCTTTTTTTTTCTTTTTTCTTTTCTCAAGGAACAATTTACATATCTCCTGTAACATCAAACCCAAATATTTTAGAATTGCACCACCATGGCGCAAAGTTTTCCAGTAGCGGATCTAAAGCAAAAGTTGCCCCTCTTGGTGCTCGCACTTTAATAACTGAACGGGTTAAGGCAGCCAGGTTTCAGTTTATTTTTTTTTTTCGCATAATGACCGTTGATCTGACATAACGTCCCTCCAAAGATACAACTGTAATTTCTGTTGGCCAGAAATTACACACTGAAATTCAAAACACTTCTTAAAATATGTTTATTTTATGAGAGGCTTTGAATTTCCTCCAACATGTTGACCATACGAGGACTTTATTTTTAACTTCAGTTTCCCTCACCCAGCCAGAATAAAAAATCTGAAATCTTGTCAGCGTTCACCTTTTCTACTTTCAATGACAATCCAAAAGGGTTTAGATACCTTCATGTGCATATTGGGTTTGGTACTTTATTACAGGTGCCCTGAAAGAACTGAATTTCCTTTAGATCTACTCAATTTTAAACAGGGAAAAAAAGAAAATAAAAAATAACATACTCAGCTTTCATGCTAGAAAACTATGCATATCCACAAACCCCAAAGACACACGTTTCTCTGCAAATGTTTTTGTAAGTAATGATTGCTGAGGTTTTTTTTCATAAACTTTTAAAATTTTTAATTTATGTTGTTG